AGACACCGTTGTCGATAATATCGACGAAGAATACGATGGGCTCATTCAACAACTTCACGTTAGCGCTATGAAAGCTGAGAGTTCGAAAGTCACCAGACGTCTGTCTCCAGAACCGAGCTGATTCGCTAGCGGGGAATCGTACGAGCTTCAGGTAACCGCGAACTAACTTCTGAAAAAGCAAAGCAGGGCAAACAGGCGGTAAAAGAAAATCTTAAAGAGAGAAAAGCAGCATTAATGGTCGAAGCTGCAGAGGCTGGGAGAAGCATTCGCAAAGTCCACCGAAACCAAAAATTACATGACCAAAATGATTGCTCTCAGGCGCCCAGACGGAGCAGTTACAGTGTCCAGAAAGGCAATGGAGAAAATCATTCAGGAATACTACTCGGATCTCTTCGATAGCCACGTCCACCTTCCGTCATGTGAAATAAAGGGGGATGAATATGTTGTACCTCCGGTTCTCCCTTCCGGAATCCGACATGCCGTTTCGCCGGTGAAAAATCGAACAGCACTAGGTCCGGACAGGATAGGACCAGCACATCCGAAGAACCTTCCGCCAATCCTCGTAAACACACTGGATCGGCTCTTCACACGTTACCTGTCTGAATGCAAGGTCCCTAGTCACCAGCAAGACCGTGTTATTGTTCAAGGATGACCTGCACGATATCGGGAACTATCGCGCAATCTGCTTACTGTCTGCCGTCTACAAACTTTTCACTCGAATCATCCTAAACAGGATTGACAAAACACTAGACGAAGGACAGCCGTGTGAGCAAGCAGAGTTTCGAAAAGTTACACCATCCTTGCTTTGCTGATGACATCGTCCTTATAACACCAAACCTTAGCCAAGCGGAACGTATGCTTGACGGCTTTGATAAAGCCTGTGGAATGATTGGTCTTCGACTAAATCTCACAAAAACGATGTTCATGAAGAACGGATTGGTTTCGCACGCCTCATTCACGCTCAACGGAGCGAATATCTCTGAATGTTCCAGTTATATCTATCTAAGTTGTGAAATCAATATGACAAACTACTTAGCTCCAGACCTTAGCAGAAGAAAACGAGCGGCTTGGGGAGCTTTCAAGAGCATCGAGGGTCTAGTGAAGAGAACAAAGTATACCCGACTCCGTGCCCACCCTTTAGAGTCAACGGTATTTCCTGCCCTAATGCATGCGTGAGAAACCTAGTCGCTGCATCAGGATGAAAGATCCCTCAGAGTTACTGAACGCGCAGTCGAAAAGACGATGCTAGGAGTATCCCGTTCCACATAAGTAAGGGATGGGATCCGAAGCTCCTGTCTGCGTTAACGGTCAAAAATCAAAGGTGCCGTTCTGCACGCCTAACAGTCGAAGATAAGGTGGCTCGGACACGTAATGTGTATGAATGACAACCGATGGACAAGAGCCGTTAGTGGCTGGATTCTTCGGGGTGTCAAACGTACTTCAGCAAGACCACCGACCCGATGGTCAAAGTTCTTCACAAAGAGCCTTGAGTCCGTAGAGCGAGCAGAACCCACTAAGCTACTATTGCACGCCACAGGGAAACATGGAAGACTTACGCACGTGTCACTCGACGATCAACAGGACTATAGGTGATACAGGTGATGCATACACGTATACATTTACGCATATACGTACACATGAATATATATATGCGTATATACACATGTATATGTATATATATATATAAATATATATATATACGTAAGTACAAACATGTTTATACACATACATATATGAAACGATAAAATTTTTTTTAAATAAAATTCTTCACTCCCTACGATTTTTTGTTTACTATGGAAGACTAAGCTATTACTAGGAAATGAAGGAAACAAATTTTAATCAATTTTTCGATCTCTGCAAACAAACCAACGTGACCATCTTATTAATCTATGAAGGAGATAAACGATGAATTGTATCAGGTCAACTTCGTAGCGATTATGTGTTACGAAAATAAGAAGATTCTTTGGAAATAAATGACAAGAGCAACACATTTACCAAGACAGAACCTATGACAGGTTAATTTTATTTCCCTTCCCATCACTATATCCTTGATTGCATTTCATTAATGACAAAGAAACCAATATTCACCACACAGAGGCAAATATAAACTCACTTCAGAGGTAATTCTTGCAGCAATGACACTGTACTCAGTATCAGTAAGTACGATTTCTTCTGGAAGTGGAGTAGTTCCGTACCTATCAAGTCCTAAAATCCAATGCCCACCATTTCATTTCGTTGCAGAGTTACATTAATCCTACCAAAAGGAACAACTCACTATAACAAAGAAAATGGTAAATCATATACCATAAAAAAGGCGAATGTCAGTGATTCTGTTTAGTGGAAGGCCCATTGCAATTTGCATTTGAATAGCAGGTATGTTAATACTAGCAAGCATTTCAGTACAAGGATGTTCTACCTGAGAAAAAAAACATGAAGAAACACTACCTAAAAAGCGAGTAGGTCATATTGTAACCTTGGTAATTCTGATGTAAATAAGACCAACCTGAAGCCTAGGATTTAATTCAAGGAAAAAGTATTTGTCCTCATCAGGAAGGTACATGTATTCAACGGTACCAGCTGATTCATAACCAACTAGTTTGGCAATTTTAACGGCGTCCTTTAAATATAGAGTAAAGCTATTAAAGGCGAGTATGACGAAAACTTCAAAAGTGGTATCCGTACCTCTTGCATACGGCGAAGTGTTTCTTTGGGGGCGATGCTTGCAGGGGCTTCCTCAATAATCTTCTGACATCTTCGTTGTATGGAGCAATCACGCGTGAATACCGGAATTACATTCTCGTACCTAGATATTACTTAGGCTGTGAAATAGGAAATAAGTTATGAAATAGGAGAAAACGAGCACGAAAAGATGAAATAACGCACGGCATAAAGTGCAAATATAAAACGATCACCTATCGGCAATGAGCTGAACCTCAATGTGTCTCGCGTTCTCGACGCACTTCATGATGAAAATCGGCGAACCAGGCACTTCTGTCTGCACTTGCACAAAGTTTTCCTTGAAATCCGCTTCGTTTTTACACTTTCTAATCCCTTTACCACCCCCACCTTCCGAAGCTTTAATCTGGAATTTTAAATGGATGATTTCCAGTAAAGAAAGGGAAAAGATGATAATATTCTTCCCACAGAATAAAAAGAATAAAATAAAGCACAATCGACTTCAAAATAATGAGAAGTGATTAGAACGAGGGAAGAAATCTAGTTGAGTAACCGAAAGATATTTAAAGTTAATCATCACGCATCAGCTAGTGAGATTCAAAACTAGATGAAGCAAGTGTTTTAGACTAACTTTCCGTCAAGCTGTTATCTTCCAATTAAGCCTAGCTTCATACTTGACGCTACTACTAAAATGTGTCATGCGAGCAAGGTATAAACTACTCACCAGTTTAACTTATAACAACTACTAAGCGAAATATTTCCATGCCATATCACAAAACTATTCAACTTTTAAAAGAAGATGGCACGTAACGAAAAAACAAAAGGCAGGTAAACGCACCATGAGTGGATATCCTATCTTGTGTTCTTCGAGAGCTCTCAATCCCTCATATAGATCAGAGACAGTTGCTTGATTAAAAAGTTCTTGAGTGACAGAAACACATTCGCTTCCTCGTTTTTGATTTAGATCCAGCTTTAACCCACTACCGGACCACTCAATGGTAGGTATGTCTAAGGTCTGAAAGAAACACACATCTTCTCATTTCCTGTACACGTAAACGATTTGAGAATGTAAAAAAAACAACTTCGATAGCCTCCGTGCAATTACTCTACACAAATCACACCTCTTTCAACATAATGCTTCCTGTTTTTTCGTTAGATAGTCAAAAAAGTATTCTCCAGAATATTCCTTGATTCAGAACTGTATAAGTATGACAATTTATCAAAGTGGTAAAATGAGCCAAACTATCATGAAATACAAACTTGGGCTATAATTGTTGAAGCGATTTTGTCACCCAGAGAAAACATAGCAGTGCTTGGTGGCCCAATGAAAACAATTCCACGGGCGGCAAGTTGTTTAGGTAGCTCAGGATTCTCCGATGCATGGCCCCATCCCGCCCAAACGGCGTCAACCTAAATGTTGTGCTTGCTTTAGATGGAATTCAGGTAGCAAAAGCAACCTAAATTTAGTATTGTGCCAAGCGGCATAACCCACTCCTTTTTCAACAGCATGATTCACAATTTCTTCAACATTGGCGTAATTGTTTCTGTTATCACCACCAGGAGAAAAAACAAAGTGATCGGCAAGCTTCAAATATTCTGAAATAACACGATGATCGTAAACGTAAAGACAGCCCACATACATAGATAGGTACTCGTTCTTGGTTAAAAAAGGGCCCGCTCCATATAAGAAAAGAACTAAAAATCAAAATCACGAAACTACGTGTGAGTTTGGTGAATTGAGCACTAAAATTACCATGGCACACTAACATAAGATTTATGAAGAAAAACTCAATTTTTCCAGAGAATACATAAATGAAAACATATTTTGGCAGTGTAAAAGCTAAAATAGTAAAAGTTGCATTAAAAAAAAAACAAAAGCTGTACTATCATGAATTCAAAGTTTTTTCTTCATTTTGCCGTTCTTTAAACTACGCGTGGTTTAAAATTTAAGTATTGAGACATTTGCTATAACACTAAAGGATAAAGTCAAAAGCGGTTTCAAAGCTGAGAAAGTGTAAAATAAAATAAAATGAAAACAAAAAGGGAGTTTTACAAATGGCACTAGATAAAAAAGAACGGCATGATACTATAAAAAAAAAACGTTTAGTGTATGACTAACCAGCATTTGATCGGATCTCCTGTTCGGTTGTCAAGCAAATAAACTTAATGATACGATCATTACGAAAGAGTTGCATGAGCAACTTTCGAATGGAAAGAATGCAACGAACAGCAGCGATACCATTTGTGGCAACCAACATCTGAACGAGAATCCCTTACTAAACGCCTAATGAAGAAACATGAGAGAAACAAACCTTCTTAATAGGTCGACGTTTACTAGTATCCTCAACATAGGTATTTACGAAATCTTCGACTGTTTTAAAGATTTGATCCCCCTGATCTAGTTTATCCTGAAATGAGGTTAGTTTTTTTTTAAACGAAGACCTTCAAAAAGGGTAAGATCTATGCAACACGGATGTGGATAGTCTTAGCGAAGATGCAAGAAAATTTACAAATTCACCTTAAGTGTGCCACCTTGATAGTGGCTCATATGGATAGTCCTTCGTTCCGGTCCACTCATGTTTCTGTGAGCCACACAGCCACTGTCGTTCCTGTAAAAGTACAGAAGCATTTCAGTTATATTCGTCAGTGAATTCAAAGACAGCAACAGCTGCGACATAGGGAATGGTAAAGAAAAATAGGGTATGATAACGCTGCATGAGGAGACACAACATCTCACACCACCTCACACCACTGAACTGATAAGCAGAGGAAGGAATGAGTTTTCCAGGTGTTATCAACACTTAAAACACTGCTTTGACATAAAAGAGCTTCTAAAACCATGCCAGCAAAAAGACTACAACACGCCTAACAATTTGCTTTTTAAATTGTATTATGTAAGGCCTTAAAAAAGTAAATATCACCTGTAAGGCGACATGAATGTTTAACTAACAACTGAACAAAGAATGACTTCTTAGCAACGTCGCACTTACGACTAAAATAGGAAGTAATGAGAGAAAAAATGGTAAAAAATTAACTCAAAGTGAAACTGATCCACAAACAAATGCAAAATTCGTTCCAGTTTACAAAGACATTTCAAAGACAATGGGGGTTCCCCACGAAAAAGTTAGTTAACCATTGCTCCATAAAAAATCATGTGAACGTTCACACAAGCTCAAATTCGTTCGCCTATACATATGACCGGCGAAATAGAATGGACTACCGGAGAGTTATTGTTAGGAATGAAGGGAATCAAGAGAGAATGAATGGAATATTATACTCGACAAAACGCGTAAACTGTATTTCGAAATCTAACGACACTTGGCGAATTGAAATACTTCACGTTTAGGTTAGATGCTGAGCAAGGGTGACGTGGAGAGCGAGGAAAGAAGGCACGACGAGAACGACCTTCAACGGTAGTGACTCGCTCGGGCAGGCGCACGGTCAGCGAAAGTGCGCCATCCGCCAACGCTGACATCGCTAGATGTCAAAAACGATAGCAACGGTTCGCGAGCCTGGCCCAAAAAGGTCCCCGCACTTCACTTCTTTGCCATTACACTACTCCCAATGCTCAATTATCTAGCCATTTCCAAATTTTGAGGAAATGTTACCATGGACAAGCAACAAAGTCGAAGATCGTCAGAGGTATACAACGAGGTGAAATACACATAACTTTCAACAGCGGATAAACACACCAGAACATAACAAGTAGTTAGTTGCCTGTTGAGAAGGTGTATAGGAGACGCACTGATATTCTATAGATTGTATGGATGGTAAATAGATGATATTTGAATTATTAGAAAAGAAAGTTTTACGGGAAATAATGTGGCATTATTTTTCCACTTGACTGGGATTCTGGTGGAGAAGGAAGTGCTTTCGTTTCAGTTTTGCCATCAGTCTCAAGATACCTATGCTAAAGCGTTCATAGATCGTCGACGCAGATTGTCGCCTTTTGTCCTTGTTAATGACAGACAGGTTTGCAGTCTTGCGAATGAGTTTCGTCCAAAACGCCAATAATTCTCAGCATAATCTTACTTTTTGCCGAAGTTCCACATAGAAAATTTTGCGGAGAGAATAAACCTTTGCATCACAAATGTTACACTTCACAGGCCTACGTCTCTCGCTCCGTTTTCTAGTACAGCGTAGTTCAAGAGTGCAGCACGTGAACTTTTTACCACCAGGTTTCTACAACTGACACAAAGACATCACCTTATAGCATAGAGGGTTTCCTGCTTGTATTAGAATAATGGTTGTTGGAAGATAATATGAAATTAGAGATAGGATAGTGTCCATACTTTGCGAATTTTTTCTGAATAAAGAATGGAAAAACATTAAGATAAATTTGTTCGAAACCCACTATTTTATACTTATTGCTGCCATTTAAATAGTAACTGAGGAAATATGACGCGATTAACTCATTGTTAGTGATGCTGTTTAATTCGTGCAAGACCCTGGTTTGATTCTGCCCAGGGTCAAAATCATTTCATCGCTGCGAGAACTGATGGCAGATTTGCCTAGGAATGTCTAGCTGATTCTGAAGACCTAAGAACAGCTACCACTGATATCTGAACTACAGGGTGATGCCAATGGTTTCACAGAAACTGAGAACTGATAATATGAACAATTTATTTTATACCTACAATTTTTCACGGTGGGATATTATGTGAAATACAACCACAACGATACTGAAAAACTTGTAAAACTCGAGACCGCAAGTGTTTTCGGCAGGAATCGAACAATCTATTACCCTTTCCGGGGGCTAACGCGTTCACCGTGTGTAGCGCAGTGGTCGGAGCCGCCCTGCTATACAAATGGGATCGATCCCCGGTCCCTAGCACATCAGGCTCTCCATCCTTCCGGAGTCGGCCAGCTGGTACTAGACTTCTCTGCGAGGATATCAACACTGGCATATTTAATCATAAAAACCGAATTTTCGGAAAACTTAAGTATTTTAGCGAAGATGAAAGCGAAAACGTCTGGTTTAAGTAACCATCAGGTGATGTCGGACTACGTGAACACATAGAGCTATATATCCAAGGATCTTACAGCTGATAACAAAACATTTCATCTCAACAGTTCACAGTATAAGAGACTAAATAAAAAATGTTTGGAAATATCTAATAACATGGTGAAATACTCACAAAGAACATGTAGAATCATCGTGGGATGAGTTCGCTTCCGGCAAGAAAACTGAAAAAGAACAAGATTTCGGATTTCACCGAGCATTACTTTTCCATTCCAAATTGATTAATGTTCTAAGTGAGTAGAAATTGGAGCGGAATAAGTATGATAAAACATTCACCGTTTCTAGAAATGAAGAAGTAGATGAAGGATATGAAATCAGAGAGGGAAAAAGAGGTAAAGGAGAAGTAAACGGGCACAAACACGCAATAACATCGTATATTGCAGAGATTACATCACATGAAGTGTCACCCAAACGCAAGGGCCTCTCTGGTCGACAATCAAGACATACAGCAGCCGAGACTCATCTCGGCCCAACTAAATGGCCAAATTTCTGCACCACATCATGGTCAAAACACTAGCGCACGCGGTGCATTTGTCCCCCATGCACCCAGCATATAATGTACATACAATGGCCTTTCACGCAACGGACCACGAGAACAAAAGCAGAAAATTCTAAGGAAATTCTCAGCAAAATTACGACAAAAGTGGGAAAGTGGTACTTCTCCTTTTTGACGTTTCGGAGTTTCCAATGTTAATGTCGATTACATTTGTGCAGCTCCCAACGGATTACAACCTCATCGTGGCTGGGAGGTGCTCCTGGATGACGGGCTGCGATGTAGAATGGCGTGTTCATTCTCTTAGTAGTGCCTCTCAAGATAAAAAGGAGTTCGGGGCTTCCATCAAGAAGCCCAGCTAAGAGTAAACCATTACCAGGATCCACCACTGTGCAGCTATTAAACTTGTCGCATAGTGGCAAATTTCTCTCTGATCCACAAGAGTGGATATGTTTGTGGTAGAGAAGACCTGAGGCAAATTTTGGCTAGGGTAACCTCGGGACTCCAAGAAACCATAATAGCTAAGCCAACAAAACTCCGAAAAAATGGAAATTATGATGGGGCTAGCAAAACCAGTGAAGATGGGCCATCCAAGTGCCGATGTAAGCAAGTATATCTGCTCAACAATTATGCCACCAGGTCGAATTCTGCTTAAGAGTCAAAATGGACGCCTCATTTCATGCCTATATGGACCTAAGGATTTTTCGAAAACTGCTGATAATCCCAACAGTTTCGAAAACTGATGATAATTCTCCTAACGGTTTACAGCCTCATCGTGGCTGGAAGGTTTTGCTGGGTGTCGGACTACGATGTATAGCGGGGTATTCATCCCCAGGCAGGGTCTCTCTACCTGAGGAGTCCGGCGTTTCCATTAGGACGCCTAGCTAGAAGTAAACCAATACCAAGATCCACAACCGTCCTGGTATCAAAGTCGCATGGTAGCAAATCTCCCTCTGATCCACAATGCGACTGCCTGTGGTGGTGAAGACCTGAGGCTGACTTTGGCCAGGCTGACCTCGGGATTCCAGGGAACCATAATGGCTTAACCAGCAAGTCTCCGAAAAATTCATGCTGGGGCTTGCACAACCAGTGAGGTCGGGCCATTCAAGTGTCAAGTGACAAGTATGATGATAATAGTTCGACTACTATATGGCTTGAGAGGCTTTGAAGATTACAGGTTTGTAGAAGAGGCTTTTCTTCCCATTCTACGGATTTGAGTAGTACGTATGCTACTCTTTACTGCATTTTATTATAGCCCGACATTAAGACACATTTCCGACAGCATTTTGAGGCATTGCAACTTATGTAAGGAGCATATGTAGCCTATGCACTTTATGTACGGGGCTTGCGTAGTCTACGTACTTATGTAGGCATGGAATCATTGCAGAGATTAGAATTTGAATATCAGTCAGCTACTATTCAAACTACCGATCGATGAACCCGTTCGAGAAAAGTTTTCTGTACTTTCTCAAGTGTAAAATAGACCTTTCCCTTGGTGATGTCAGCTCTGTTGAACAGGTAATCGATTGGTGACAGTAGTCCAAAATAAAGCACTGAAAACACGACTACCTTCGCAGGAGCCACATCGGCCACTATTTCCCATAGCAAGTTGCTTCTATGGAGGTGACGTTGTCACGTAAATGTTTACGTATTACCAACAGTACTGGTTTATCGATAACCACATGTAACTGAAGTCTTGATAGACTTATAGACGAGACTTCGCCTATCGCTGTAAGACTTTACGTAATTTCTCTAAGACACTTGTCAATACTATTCCAGTTATAAATTTGTTCGAAAATCTAAAGTTAGAAAAATTCAAGTTTAATAAACCAACAAAGCAAGCGCTTCAGCCGATAATACCAACAACACATTTGGAAGGACCACTGTCCTGCTAGACGTAAACCCACTCATTAAACTGCTAGACTGCTTTACATATGAGCACCGATAAGAGAGAGTAGAGGAGAAAAAACTACTCGTGGACTCCAGAAAATTGGAATCAAGACAGAGCTACAAAACCGGTACCTTGTTGGCAAAGGTATGAAGATCTTAATGAGCGCCGTTTCCAATAAGAAGGTTTATTATGAGGTAAAAAA